CTCGACTGACTGGGCCCCCAGGTACTCCAAAAGAATAAAATATTTTAAAACTAAAATAAGCTAGAATAAAATGGAACAGTTGAAATTGCCTCAATTGCATAAGAAACATCACTTCTTTTCCTTTGAAGCAACAGAAGAAATTTTCAATGGCAAAGTTTGGTTCATTCTTTCAAAAATATTTACTGAGCACTTTCTTTGTGCTAGGAACTGGGGATACAGCTGTGAATATAAGTTATAGGATGTTTCATTCTAGTGGATCTAGATAATACACAAATAAAATACATTATGCCAGCTGGAATGTGCTGTGATAAATACAAAAATAGAGGGGTGCCTGGGTGGCTCAGTCAGGTTAAGTGTATGACTCTTGATCTCAGCTCAGGTCATAATCTTACGGTTTGTGAGACTGAGTCCCTGTGCTGACAGGTGGGAGCCTGCTTGAGATTCTCTCTCTTCCTCTCTCTCTCTGCCCCTCCCCCACTCACGCTCTCTCTCAAAATAAATAAATAAACATTAAAAAACAAAATAAAACGGGGTACCTGGATGGTTCAGTTGGTTGAGCTTCTGATTTCTGTCAAGTCATAATCTCACGGTCCGTGAGGTTGAGCCCCACATTGGTTTGCTGCTATCAGCACTGAGCCCACTTTGGATCCTTTGTCCTCTCTCTGCTCCTATGCCACTTGCACGTGCATGTGCATGTGCTCTCTCTCTCTCTCTCTCTCTCTCTCAAAAATAAACATTAAAAAAAAAGCTTCAAAAATAAACCCCAAAACAAAAATAGGATAACAGAATAGAGGGTGATTTGAGGAGGAGGAAGGATATCTTATAGTGGTCTGGAAGCTTCTCTGAGGAAGGACAGAGATCTGAAAGCAAGGTGGAGCTCTGAAAGAATAGAGTTCAGGTTGATTGATTGCAAAACAATTATAAATATCTGCCAAAAAATCATTTTAATAAATACATAACAATACAATGGAAAAAGAATAATAATAAATAATCTATAAAGGTTTTACCTTCCATATATATAAGTAGCTGATGGAAATTTGTGAAGGATCCAATTAACAAATGGTTTAAAGTTATGAATAGAAAATTTACTCCAGAAGACAAATAAACACTTAGTGAGGGATCAATCTCACTAATAATTAAAGAAATACAAGTTAAGCATTTACCATTTGGCTTTTGATTAGATGTTAACTACATCTAATATTGATGGGGACACTGTAAATGGTGGGAACTTTCTACAGAGTGATTTGGCAATTCACACTACAAATAGTTTTACCCCTTGACTTAAAGGAACATGTGGCAAAGAAGTAATTTGAAACAGAAAATAATTTAATTGAACATACTGTTTTGTAATTAAAACCTGAAAGCAATCCAAACAACCCCTGGCAGAAGAATAGCTAACCAGGAAATAGTATGTTAATTTAGTGAAACAGCAGATCCCCATTAGGAAAAGAATCAGAAAATTTCAATAAAAAGACCTATATGACTATAAGGAACTGCAAACTGGAAGTGTGAAATTCTGAAAAATGTATATACGACGGTATTTTATTTCTGCAGACAGGATGGTAAGAAACCACAGTGTTTGGACATAGTTGGTGATTAAAGGAATTAATATTTGTTGTAGCTTTTGATAGATGTTTCCATTAAACTTTTATTGTACAATTAATTACATGTATAATTTAAAAATCAAAACTGATGCTAGGATGCATTAATTGGAAGACACAGCAGCTAGACAATGACCTTTGCAGTCAGACAACCCTGGGTTCAAATTCTGCCTCCTCTAGGGCAAGTTAAATTAGTTTTTTCAGGTCTCAGTTTCCTTATCTGTAAAATGAAAATAACACTAACCATGTAGTTGTTACAGGGATTAAATAAGCTGATATTAAAAACTTCACAATGCCAGGCGCTTGGTAACTTGGTAAAAAAAAAAAAAGAGAATAGATTAAAAGAGGGAGGAAAGGTAGGGAGGAAGGAAGAGAGAAAGGGAGAGATGGAAGGGAGGATTCAGATTCTAGATTAGACTGAACATAAATCTAACATAGCTTTGACTTACATTGAATACAGTAGAAAGATGATTCTATACCTCTGAAGTAATCTTTCTACTATACTATCCAAAAACTGAACCCAGGGTGGGGGGGGGGGGGGGGGCACAAAACTTAAATATTTTTTAATGCAGGAAAGAAATCAAGGCTATTTAAGTTGAGGAAGAAAATGGGAATAGGTGACAATTACCATCTTCAGCATATGAGGAAGTCCATATTTAAAGGCTAAATTTAAAAAAGTGGATTTAAACTGAAAATTATTTTAACTAAACAGTTTACAAAGAAAACTTTATTATGTAGTAAAACAATATAGCAGACAATCAACCAATCTATAAAAAAAGTATTAATGCATATTACTGATTAGATATTAATAAACAACGGAACTAATTTCTGGAAGTTGTAGAATCTTTCTCCTTCGAATCTTCTCAAAAACAAGCATCAGGCCATTTGTCCTGGATAGAGTTCAGACATTCTTCTGCAAGGGGTCAAGACCTGTTCGTGTTTCTTATGTAATTTTAATCTACTGCTACAGTGAATGACAGAAAGCATGGTGAAGTCGAATATAAGTACATCCTGAGGACTCCTTAAAGGAGTGGAACGGAATGGAAACAGTAAATGCACCTGAGTGTGTTGCAGCGTTCTTAGAAATAGAGCAATAAAAGTATGGAACGATCTCAGGACACATTAGATGCCCAGTAAATGGTCATTATTATCACTAATAATTCATTTCATTTCCAATAGTGTAGATAAAAGAAATTTGGCTATTCTGGCTCAAAAAAGCACAACACCAAAAACCTTTACTCAAAAATATCTTAAGCAACTGAGGATTAATTACTCAAAGCTGGCTTTCTTTTTAACCTTTTTTCCTGGCCAAGGAGGGGTCAAGGAAAGCAAAGGAATAAGGGTGATCCTTAGGAGAACCACACATCTTGAAATCATCTGGCTCTGTGCTGACAGTGCAGAGCCTGCTTGGGATTCTCTCTCTCTCTCCCTCTCTCTCTCTCTCCCCGTCTCTCTCTCTCTGCCCCTCCTCTACTCTCTCCCTCTTTCTCTCAAAACATAAAAAAACTGGGGCGCCTGGGTGGCGCAGTCGGTTAAGCATCCGACTTCAGCCAGGTCACGATCTCGTGGTCCGTGAGTTCAAGCCCCACGTCGGGCTCTGGGCTGATGGCTCAGAGCCTGGAGCCTGTTTCCGATTCTGTGTCTCCCTCTCTCTCTGCCCCTCCCCCGTTCATGCTCTGTCTCTCTCTGTCCCAAAAATAAATAAACGTTGAAAAAAAAATTTTTTTAAACATAAAAAAACTAAAAAATAAATAAATAAAACTAAACTGTTAAAAAGTATAAGGATAACTTAAATTTTTAGGATGTAAAATGTTCTGTAGGTGCAAAGATTTGTTTAACTATTATGATCACTATTAGAAACAATGAGAAAATGAATCCCTATATAAATGGCAAAAATCATAGAATTTTACAGATAAAAAGGATCATGAAGGTTAACAAATCCCAATTTCTTCAAGGTTCTGCCTTTCAGTCTCTCAGCTTCCTCTCTCTGCTGACTGTTCTGGGGACAAAGAAAGAAAAACAAAGCAAAAACAAATGTGGGTTCCAAGTAATCCTCTTAACCCCAATTTAATCAAGTATGGGTTCTTTTTTTATTGCCTATTTGCATCTGGAACATAATTACTATCCAGAGCCTAATTTGGGAATGTTCATTATGAATGAAAGGTGTAATATCCTAGAACAGAATAGAATTCAGTTTATTCCTCGGACATTTGTAAAATTAAGTCAAGACACTGAAAGTGATAAGTAAGTTCTATCTAGTTTTCATCTCCAAGACCATGGATTTCAGTGACATTTTTATAACTGCGTACTTTGGGAAAATGAAAAAAAAATTAAACGATGAGCTTGTTGAATATTTTGCCCTCAGATGTATTAGTTTTAAAATGTAAACTGAGCAGTTTCAATCTGGATGAATGAAAGACTATGGAGACTTCTATAACATTACCTTAGGATTTACTTTATAGAGCATTTCTATTTCTATTCCTTCTTATACCTTGACAATATTGCTACTGTGACTCTTTCCTTTGTTTTAAAGAGGATAATATCAGGCTTCATTTTAATTTTGCACCAATTTTTTAAAGTACATTTACTTAATATTTCTCAGTCTCAAAAACTTTTATCATTAAGCTCAACCTTTATTTAAATCACCGACCTATTTGGTGAAGGCTACAGGAGAATTTATTTGCAAATGCCTTAGAAAATGACTAATTTACCTTTATTTCAGAAAGATCCATTGTAGACCTCCAACTGGATATATTTGCCAGACCTCTTAAAATGGATCATAATTATGTCTTTATACATTTATCTGGGAAGCTATTATCTGAGGGTAATTATTCTTCCCAAATGCTTTTTTTTTTTTTTTTACTCAAACAGCCATGCTTCCAAAATATTTATTGAAAATGTAGCCAAGAAACAAAGATTTGGTAAAATTTGTTTTAGCATGCTAATGAGGTTAAGAAAACAAGTATTTTAATTATTGTTATTAATTTTAAAATCAGGAATGCAGAATACTTCTTTGTCCAAAGACATCCAAAAGCTTAGTTATCCAAAGGCATTTCCGAAAGTGAAATGGTCTGAACACCTGACAGATAGTTTTCTATTTTATCCAGTAAGCTAAGTAAACTAACCAAGTACTAACTTAGGCAAATACTTGAGCATGTCATTTGCCTGCAAGATTCCCAAGCGCTGTCACCTCCATCAGGGCCATAGAGATTGTGATGAAACCAGAAGAAGTGGGCACCTTCTAACCCCAGGCATCCATCTATTCCAGAATTTCTCCCATGTCTCTATGAGGGCCTATATTCCCAACACAATAGACTCTATGGAAGCCCCTGAGCAGCAGCGATTAGCTTCTCTCTGCCTCAGCCCCAAATGAGTTTTCCAACGCTGGAGAGGCAGCAGGATAGGGATGCCCACAGCCTCACCGAGTGACAGGTGATAGAGAAAATAAAAATAGATTATGTGTCATTATATACTATTCACTTTTATGGCTTTTACAGGTTGGATAGCTTGCATGTTGACAGAATTTTAGGTAATTTTACTCTAATATGTGTTAATAATGTAATACCCTAGCTTGCTACACATGTTTCATTACCACCTACAAAGCATTTAGGAAAGGCCAGTTACCTCCTTCTTAGTAATTCTTTTCTAAATATTTGTGGTTACACTGGCAAAATTTTGAAATGTGCTGTTTATTTTTGCAGGAGCATGAGAACTGATTCAGGCACTTCAGGTATGGAACAAATTCCACTACATTTCTTTGTGATCTCTGGTATCCAGTAGTCAACCTTGGGTCCTGGAAGAAAGTAGTTATGAGCAAAGGAATCCAGCTAGATGTTTTGATGTGTCCCCTTTGCTCCATTCTGAGAGTCCTACCATGCAGGAACTATTCTTCAAAGCCTGTCCTCATGCTATCTTGCAAGTGGTAGGCATCACTGCACTTTTTCTGTGCTGGTAGAGTCAGTTTCCCAGTTCCCTGAATCCAGCTCACTGGGCATGAACCACTCCCAGGCCTGCTCAGCAGGCAGAACCCAAACAATAGGGTCTGTATCCTTGCTGGTTTGGAAGGAAAGTGGTCTACCACTAAATTTCTTGGTAAATCTACAATTGTATAGTCCTTACTTGTATCTGGGGCTCCGCTTTGCTGTCGGGTGATACTATTTAATGTTTTATTCAGCAGTTGTTTCTTTACATACTCTCGTGTCTGAGGATCTTTTAACTTCTTAGCAACAAGTTTTTAACATGGGGTTGTCATATGGCACCAGTGGAGATCTGTCCCCTTGCTTGCTGCTGACCTACTTCTAAGTTACTGTCTAAGTTGAGGGGTGGATAGGCCTCAGCTCCAGTCATGCACATAAAAGAACATCATGGAGAGAAAAAAAAATACTTCTGCTTTAAAATCCAAGAACCCGTGAAGGCATTCTCAGTCACATTTGCAAGAGTCCTACAAAGAAGAGCAAACAACTAGAGGATAGTGTTTATATAAATGGGATTTTTGTCTGTAGACCTTACCACTGAGCTTTGGTGTCCAAAAGTACCAGATGAACTTCACTGAGATGTGAAGTTCCAATCTACAGTATTGAACCTGAGAACATTGTAGGGAAATGCCATTGTAGTTTATTAGAAAAATGCAAAATCTCCTTTGCAATATATAGAATTTTCACCTACCAATTTTTACCTCAAGTTCTATTTCAAAACGAAGTCACAGTAAATTTATAGAAATTCTAGAGATGTCCAATAGCCAGATATTTTTGTCTTACTTTCTAAAAGAGGATAAATCTTGCAGCAGCCTTATTACTGATAATTAGTATGTTAGCATATGATTAGCACATAATTAGTACAATCACATACAACATACATTCTGAAGCACTAGTTATTTATGCATTGGGAATTTATAATTAATGTAGGATATTGATACATTTATTTTCATTCCATATGTGACTGATTCTTTCACCTGTCTTCTGGCACAGGCTTAGTTTTGTTGAACTGAAGAAGCATTTGATCCTTATCTATTATATATGAGGCACCATGGCAGACTCTGAGAGAGATTAAAAATACATAATAGGACATCACCTGGCCTCAAGAGATGGGCCCAAATAACATAAAGTAAAATGTTATAGGTGCTTTCAGAGAAAAGTGGAGAATATAGTTTTAGCTCAAGAGAGAAAATCATGAAAGAGTCTATGAAGGAAGCAGTCTTTGAGTTAGGAAAAGGGAAATAAGAATATCCTGGGTACAGGATACAGTAAGAGCAAAATTGAAGAATAAGACAGTGTTGGGCATATTCAATTTAGGAATAGTGAGAGATGCAGCTGGAAAGCAAAGCAGGATCCAGATTATGGAAGTCTTGGGTCATCTAAGGAGTCTGGATAGTACAGACCTCCTTTTGGCAGGTAAGAGCCACTGAAAGACAAATAACGAAATGAGTGTTATGTTTTAGAACGATTACTCTGACTGCAATCTCTAAGAGAGCTGCAGCAGGCTACAGGTAGGAAATCATTATAATGGTCTGGGGTGAAATGTGTCAGTCTTGAACCTAGGGGGGAAAAAAGCCAGATGGAAACAAGGATGTGAATATGCAGTTAACAAGATTTATTGGACTGACTACTTGTGGGGACAAGAGAAAAAAACAAAAAAAAAAAAAAAAAAAAAAAAAAAAAAAAAAAAAAAAAAAAAAAAAAAAAAAAAAAAAACAACTGAGGATGACAGAGTTTGAGAGGCAACTTAACTAGGAGGTAATGAGTCCATGAAACAAGCTGGGAAAATGAATTACAGGAAATCTGGAAGGCAATGATGAAGAAACCAGCTATTAAATACTGCACCTGGAATCAAAAGCCCTAGGTTTGAGTTCTAACTGCACTTCCTCTGTTCCACGGATGTGTCATTTAATGTTTCTGGACCTCAAGCTTCTTCAGCTGCCAAATATGTGTGCATATGGGTGAGGAATTGAAGAGGGCATGGTTAGCTGTCTCAAGACCCTTTCAGCTGTTATGACTTTATAAGCTGACATGTTTATGGTCTTGGTGGCCCATCTTTGTAAATTTAGCAGGCAGCTTAAAATGGGGCTCTGAGAATCAGGAGCTAAGCAAAGGTAGAGCAAACATGCAGTGACGTTTGTCACACTCAGCTTGGTAAATCATGAGGATGGTACAATATACAAATTTGGCTTGCAGTTTTCACAAAGTATTAATTATTTTTCCTGGTTTTTTTTCATGTACTTTCTTATTCTTTCCACTTTTCTCTCCTGTCTTCCCATTTTTCCTTACTTAGGCTTGCATAGTATTTTGATTTTCCCTCTGCTTAGCATTTCTTTCCCCTTTTTTACAGTCCTCTAAATCACTTCTTTTTGCCCTTTCATACCCTTACTCACACTTAACACTTTTTGCCCCAAGAAGAGCAAGGATTAGTAGAATCTTAATCCCTTGTTCCATTGAATTTAGACTAAATGTAGACTAAAAATGAGTCTGTGAATCTGATTTCTATTCTAGGCAGTAGCCAGAATAGTAACTGCTCCCCACTGCAATAAAACAAAACTCTGGTCCTATTAACCTGGTCAGATTCACATTCACCCAACTCCAGGCAATGCTACCTGAGGACCATGGTCTCTTATTCATGTCTCAAACCACTCAGCAGTTTGACAAAAGGACACTTTTTCTCCTTTCTGAGTAAGGCTTTGGGTAAAGTGGACTCTGAATGTACTGTTTTCATGAAAAGGCTGCAGGAAGAGCCTAGGCTAACACTGTCTCTCAGGATCTGGGTCCATCTGTCCCTTTTCTTGACTTTTAATTTCTTACCTATCTAGGTTTTACTCACTTTAGCTCTGTTGATCTCTTTACGGTGAGCCCAAACTTAGGCTTACCTTTGATCCTATAGTATTTTCCCAAGATGGAAAGCAATCAGACAAAGGATAGACATCCAAGAAATAGAGAAGGGAAAACTGCTACCAAACACCGGGAATTTCCTCCCCATTTATATCCATCTTTCTTTTCCACTTTCCTCTTAACTATTGCAAATCAAATTCTTTGCAATCTTAAGCAGCCATGTTCATTCAGTTTATGAAACCCAGTCTAAAAAAGAGAAAGGATGGGAGGACCCTAACAAGGAAACTGTGAAATTTAACAATGGGCTCCATTGGGAAAAATAAAGACATTTTTAAATTTAAGACCAAATTGAGTTCTCTCTCCTGTGCTTTTCTCTCTTGCTTTTGGCTTTTTTTCTTTCTTCTTCACTTCCCCTCTCTAATGATCTCTATTTCACTTTCCTCACTATTTTTCTTTTCGCCCTCTGGCTCCCTCCTCTCATGTCAAATCTTTTACCTCCCTCAAACTTGTGCCTCATCTGTTTCCCCCTTTCTCAGGGGAATGGATGTGAGGAAAGGAAAGTAAAACAGAAAAAGAAAAGGCCAATGGAAAAAAACATGTAAGACAACCTAAAGGTAATTTTTTACAATTATAAGTTGCTATAGATGATAAAGGACAGACATGACACTTTCACAAAAAGTTGTCAATAAATTGAATCTTTTGACATTGAATCTTATTGCTTCTATTGTAGTAACAATAGAGGTGGAATGGAATGTTGAGGGTTCATTGTAGTTTCTGCTCTAGAATCCTTCAAGTGTCAAAATGTAATGTCGCACAGGGATTAGGGGAGCTTCAGGTGAGGCACTAGAAGAATATTACTTGCTGCTGCTTTTACAAGTGATTCCATCATTCTCATCCCTATTCTTTCTCTTCGTTCCCTCCTCAAACTCTTTTCCAACCTTGGCAGGAACCACGTGGCCATATCTCATCTGGGCTCTGATGTTGGAATTGAGGTGCCCACCCATCTTTCCACTCTTCTGTGTCACTCTGCCACCACAGTCAGCTTAGCATTTGGGCACTTATTAATAGGAACTCACCCAGATGCACACCATGGGCCAGACATAATGCACCAGAGGAAAACAGTGTAGCCAAAAGATAAAAGCCCATGCACAATACCCCCTGGCCTCTCTGCACACTCCTTCGTCTAGGCCTGTTCTTTCATCATTTCTTTCCTCCCATAAGTGTGCTCTTAATATTGTTCTATGGTGGCGGTGGACAGTAAAGGAGGCACTCACGGTGATGTGTGTTGGTACCTAGGGAGGGTCCCAACCCCTGTCATTTCTCAATATATTACAGCATTTAGAAAGAGAAATTCATTTAAAGATAACTCAATATTCTACAATGATCCCATCTTTTGACTGATATTTTCTATAATGATGAAATTTCAAACCCCAGGGTCTTATGAAGAGAGATCTGCAAATGCAAAGAAGGGCAAAAATAGTAATATACATACCATATTTAAATCTTGGCTTCTAAAATTTAAAAAGTGGCTCCCAGATATTTAAATTGTGAACTGCTGATATATAAGAAAAAGTAGATGATTAAAAATTTTTTTTCCTTTTTTTTTTTTTTTTTTTTTTGAGAGAGAGAGAGAGAGAGAGAGAGAGACAAAGCAGGCAGGAGGAACTGAAGAAGAGAAGGGGCCTGAGAATCTAGAAGCAGGCTCAGGCTCTGAGCTGTCAGCACCAGGGAGTCACATGGAGACAGGCTCTTGAGCTGTGAGATCATGACTTGAGCTGAGGAATGAGGCAACAACAGTGATCACCCAGGTGCCACCAGATGATTTTTTTTTTGATGGTGAAAATTTTGGGTACTAATCATATTATCCCACAACTGAAAAAGTAGAAACCTTGGCCACATATTTGAGCATATATTATGTGTGTGTAAAATATATATATGACTTATTTTAGGACTCAGACTAGAGGACAAGATCAGGACTTTACCAAATAAAATTCAATTTAACACATCCTATAAATTTTAAAGATAAAACCCATAATCTTAATCTTGGCATCTTGATTTATTAGATTCTTATATGATGAAACAACACAAAAAACAAAAAATTTAAGAAATCATAAAGTTCCCTTTAATAAAACCTCTATGATTTAAAAAATGAATCTTCTGTCCAACTACTGTTAGATTAAGAAGCTATATTAAAAATGCAATTTGCTTATTTCAATCATATTTTACTTGCCTTATATTTAGTTTTTTAAATGTTTTACATAACAGTAATAACTTTAAAAATGTTACGTGTTTTAGACCTTTGAATTGAACCTGACTTTTCCATCACCAGCAGATAATGCAAAACTACTAAATAAAAAGCCAGAACAAACATAATAACCAACAGAAAGAGAAAAACAAAGCAGTGTCTTTCAACAGCAGAAATAATAAAGGCTACTACTATTAAATCAATCATTCAGTATTTTTTTAATTTTTTCAACGTTTTTATTTATTTTTGGGACAGAGAGACAAACATGTAGACAGGAGGGGCAGAGAGAGGGAGACCTGAGATAGGAAACAGGCTCCAGGCTCGAGCCATCAACCCCAGAGCCCGGCCGAGGCTCGAACTCCGCGGACAGATAAGTGACCTGGCTGAAGTCAGACTTAACCATTTCGCCACCCAAGCGCCCCTAATCATTAAGTATTTAAATCCGGCAATCTAATTTTCTTACATCTTGATTATCATAATTGGGGATATCAGTTTTAAAAGTAAATATACAGAACTATTAAGGTTTTCAAATTATAAACTCAATTTTTTTATCTATAGGGCTTCTTTTGCTTTGGGATTAGTTTAAATTTATTTATTCTCTTTTGGTTTTTACTTTTCACTTGGACATTAGCCAACTCTGTGTTGTTTTCTAACATTAAGCACTATGAGGAGTCCCTTGAGAGGGACCATGGTCTTTAAATATTTGTGTTCACAGTGTTGAGCACATGGCCTGAGAGACAAGTATTTGCTGAATCAATGAATGCCACTTCAAACAGGTTTTCATGAAACTCCTATACTTAAAAAAAGAAAAAGTTTATTTGAGAGAGAGAGAGAAAGTGCTGCATACAAATACCTGAAGAGAACAGGAGAGGGAACCCAAAAGGAG